ACAGTAATTCACAGTCCTCAGCTGGATGGCTGCAGAGAATTCATCATTATTCAGAGTTCAGCAAGTGCCAGTAGTGTTATTGAAGTGGTAATTGAATTTGGTGAACCCTCTGTGGTCCAGACAGCATAGCACTGCCGGCAAGAGCCATGCAGTGTGGTTAAGATGAATACATTTCCAATAATAATGAACCTTCAAACTAGGCTTGATAGCACACAGCCAAAAGGACATACTGTTTTGATAATTTGACTTATGATACTGAGCATTTTGGATCGAAGCCATGTGGAAGGATGACAATGTGTACCTGCGGGAAGATCCTGGGAGAAAAATCCAGTACTTCCTAGAAATCTCTGTGGAAAGTTCTATTGATAATCTCATCAGGCAGAGATATGTCTGTGGCCAATTATTTCCTTGTACAAAAACGTCCTTGCCACATTCTTGAACTGAACCCTTGTGTGGTAAAAGAAAAATTTCCAAATAATTTTCAATGAAGTGTGCCTTATCACTAAACAGCAATTAAGTGCTTTCAAAATTTCACATTCACAGAATGATCTCAACAATCTCACTACTTTGCAATGCTGTTTCTAAAAGAGAACATTTATAGTTTGGGAAAATAGCACAAAAATGAAAACTGCTGGAATTGTTTTGGTTGCTGAAAATATACTTGGCCTCATGGCTGCGGCACTGAAGAGGGAAAGAGCTTTGGCTCTGAGCTCAGGCAGACCCTGACTTTGAACCCCATCTCCTTCATTTACTGTGTCCTTAATAGGTCATTAGCTTCCTTTATATTCTCCATCTTTCCCTTTAAAAATGAGGTCAGTAGTATCTACCTCTGAACATGCAAGCAATGAATAAGGAACAGAGCTTGGCTCCACTGGATACTTACTATTAGAATAGCTGTCATTTGCTGGCCTACTATGTGCCTCGCAGTCAAGTGCTTATGAACGTGTATTATTTTACAACAGTGTGCGGTTGCTACTAAGGGTGACCTGGTTTGCCTGGTACTGTCCAATCTTACAACTGAAAGTCCTGAGTCCCAGAAACCCTCTTGGTCCAGGACAAACAAGGGTGGTTGGCCACTCAATCAATATTATGGTCTCCTCTTACAGGTGTGGAAACTGAGGCTCAGAGAGTATGTACAAGTTGTCCAATATCCCACAGCTAGGAAAGAGTAGGCCTGGTATTCAAACCTAGGCTTGAACAGCTCCCAAACCTGCACTCTTTCTGCAGCCTTCAACCCTGCTCAGTAAATGTTGCTTTCCTTGCTGTATTACTAGAACATTCTGGACTTAACAGATATTTGTAGATCAGATCACATTTTTTCAAATGTCTTCAGTTATTTCAGGATTGCATGCCTGCATGTGTGCTTGTGTGTGTCAGAGAGTGGGGGATTGCTCTCCAAGTGATAGTAATAATGAAATTGATAGTTTAAAAGCCTAACATTTATTTCAAAAAAATTTCTACCTTTTGTTCATTCATTCATTCATTCATTCATTTAATAGATATATAGTGAAGTCCTACCGTGTGCCAGATACTGGGGCAGATACAAAGAAGACTAAGATGCTGGCCTCAAGATGCTCAGTGTAAAGGAATTTAAAGAATTGGTTGTAAAAGACTGGGAGATTATGATGGTAGAGGGAAGCCTACATCATTCCTATCTCCCCTTGCACACTCAAGCCATGCAGATCTTCTGTAATGAAGCTACAAGCTTATTCCTGACACTAGGTTTTCTGTACTAGCTGTTACTTCTGCCTTGCAGGTTCTTTCTCCTAATCTTGGTCATTCAGATCTAGGATGAAATGTTACCTCTTCAGAAAGAGCTTCCTTACCACCTCCAGCTAAATTGGCCACTGAGAAATTCTTAGCTCACCCTGTTTTGATGATCTTCTAGGATTTATTTATCACTATTTGATACTCATCTTCTTTGACCGTTTACTGCTTTTTGCCTGCTTGTGCCAACAGGGAGAATGGAAATTCCAGGGAGGAGAGATAACTTGTTTATTTTATTGTTTCTTTTACTGATGGCGATATTCCCAGAACTTAAAACAATGCTAGGCACCCAGAAGCAGTCAGTAAGTATTTTTTGAATGAACAAAATGAATGCCCTAACAAGTGTTTTGGATGCTGGAAAGGGCAGCCAACTCAATGAGTAGAGGTAGGAGGGGAACTTTGCTTGAAAGGATCTCTGAATTTAGCTTTGCCCTTCCCCCTCACCACCTGACCACCACCTGCCTGCTCTTAAAGGTATGTTTTCAGTTAAAAAAAGAAAATACAAGAAAATAAAGGGCCCGACTTGGCATAACACTATACTGCTTTACTGCCCATTGTCTCTAGTTCTCTTTACATTTGTGTCCATAAATATTCTTGAACAAAACCCACTTTTTTTCATAGTTCTACACCTTTTTTGGGGAAGTAAGTATTTTCTGACATTTTCATTTTAAAGGTAACTTTGTTCTTCATCATAGTGGCTGTACTGGGATTTATCTAAACAAATCTACATCATTGGATCTTTGAATGTCCCCATCTTGTCATTATGGACAATATTGGACTGAGCAGCCTTGTACATAATCTTTGACAGATCCACGTGATAAAGTAGAAACAAAAGGACTTTGGTTTGAGTTCTAGATCCATATGTTTAAAAATTTTTGAGTTTACTCATGTGTAACATGGGGAGGAGTGTCTACTTCACAGGGCCACTGGGAAATTAAAGGCTGTTAATGAAGGTAAGTGCTCAGCACAAAGTAAGTGTGCAGTAAATGTTAGCTATCCTCAATAATTTCCTTTGACTAAACTCTAGAAATCCAATTGTCTTTCCAATCTATCTTAAGGGACAAATAGAAACATCCTAGATAAATGGGTAAGGAAGGAGGCTGCAGGTAAGGGGAAGTAAAGTTGGGAATATGATTTTTTTTTTAATTATGAGAGAACTATAGACCCATTGCATCCACCAGGACTTTAACATAAAGGTTATATTAACTCTGACCCTCACCGTGCCCAGATGGCAGCCCCTGTTCCTGCTGGGCTTTGCATTGCCCCTGGATATATGCTTTTCTGGGCACAAGGTAAGAGCAGGTTGATCGAGATAATGCTGGTGGTTTAAGCTGGGTAATTGGGAGGATGGAGAGCCCTTTGACTAGAGAATGAAGCCAGAGAGGCAAGTTTTGTTTGATCCATGTTTAATTTTTAATACACAGATGTGTCTAGCAGGTTGTCCAGAAAAAAATATTAGGGCTCAAGATGTTGGCTTGAGTAAACAGTGTGGAGAATATCCGAGGCCTCAGCAATAGAGATCACCTAACTCAGCAAGAACTGTCTTTTGCTTCCCTGCTGCTAAGACATTGCAAGCTCATCTAAAAATAGCTACATTGCTTTCAATAGATGCTGTCACTTGGTGTCTGATTGAATTTGTTAATTTTAGTTTTACTTATATTTTCCTTTTAATATTGAAGTATAATGAACATATAGTGTTATATTAGTTTCAGGTGTACAATATAAGGGGCCAACAATTTGTTACATTACTCAGTGTTCATCGCGAGAAGTGTGCTCTTACCCCCCTCTATCTATTTCACCCAACCCCGGACTCACATCCCCTCTGACAACCACCAGTGTGTTCTCTGTATTTAAGAGTCTGGCTTCTTTTGTTTGTCTCTTTTTTTCTTTGTTTTGTTCCCAAAATTCCACATGTGAGTGAAATCATATGGCATTGGTCTTTGTCTGAGTTACTTCACTTAGCACTGTGCTCTCTAGGTCCATCCATTATTTATATTTTCAATGAACAACTCATAGGCCCATAAGTAATGGCATAGTCACGCACTGATAAAATCGTGTTTATTTAGTGATGTCTGACAAATAGAGAAAGTAAAAAGAATATTAAAAAATGTATAATTTACATATAAATACTTTAAAAGAGAAAAGCTGAACACATATGGTGACATTAAAAGGATGTATACATTTAAGTTTGCAGGCTATCTTATAGCTTGACAAATTAGATACACATATGTATACACATATATCTTGTTTGTGAGTTTGCATAATTAGGGCCCAAGGATAAGTTTTGGGCATGTCTACAATAATTCTGAACTCCCATAAAATTTATGGTATTTTACCACCACGGTCATGGTGATTTTGTTCTTCTTTTTCAAAATCTACTACCAGCACATTTGAAAGTCATCAGAGGGCCCCGGTTTCCTCATCAGTAAGGTGAGAAAGTCTCTGCTGATATGTTCTGCTTCTTCTGAATGAAAAAGTGGGGAGCTCCAGCAGCCTCCAGCGTGTAGAAATGGAAGGGCTGAGCGGCCTGGTCTCCTCTGCATCAAGCAGAGTTTTCTGTTGGCTTCTTTCTTTGGAAAGGAGTCAACTCGTGTGAAATGGAGCAAGTTTATCGCACCAGTCCACTTAACTAACAAACATTCCATTCCTGTAGATACAGTCTGCTTCCTAGTATGCAACGAAACAGAAGACTAATGGTCTCTGGATTTCAAATTGAACAGCTACTCGTGTCCTCGGATCTTGAACTTGGAAGTTCAGAGTTGAGCTGCTCAAAAAGAGCGCTCTACAGAGGCCTGTCAAGTCAAAGATATATGCCAAGATATTTGTATGACAACGTGTTCAGTATGATATTAAACATCACTGACATTTGTGACAGTGACATTTTCTTGACATTCCACTAGTGTATAACAAAGTAAGATGAGTGTAATGTGATCATCTACACAGTAAAAACATGTATCTGATTTCTTACATTTATAGAAATTTTCATTTGTAGCCAATACCACAGAAAAGTAAATCACCCCTAAGTACTATCCTGAGCTTAACTTGATTTCAAGTTTACAGTTAATCAGATCTTTCATTAAAAAAACAAGACAGATATAACTGACCTCATATGACTACAGGCAATACATAGGACTCAGGGGTAAAGTAATAATTCTTCCCAATTTTTCTTATATTCATTTGATGTTGGGTAGCTACACTTTGCCTCTGTAGGTATCCTCCTCAAGGAACACATCTTACATTTCCCCTCTGCTGGTGTTTGGCTTTAACTCTTGGAGTAAGGCCTCGTGGTTATGAGGACAGTTGCTGTGACAGGTGCAGGTTCCGATGGTCATCACTGGTTTCTTGATGATTTGCCCTGGGGAGCACTGGAACTCTACCTGGATGGTTTTGGTGTTATGGGGGGTGCAGCACCGGCCATCGCTGCAGACCCCACAGTACCTGGGCTTGTAGGTGTGCAGGCTGGTACAGTTCTTGAACTGCAGGTGGATGGCTTTGAGTGACTTTGTGGTACGAAGACACTTCTTACCTTTCTAAGAAAGAAGAAAAGGAGCAATTCATGGAATGGCTACCATTCCTCTGTGGGACCATTTTAGGGATACGGAATAAATTGCTAGTTGCCTACCCAATATTCATTGTGCTTTCTTCTTTGCTGACATACATTAGTTTTGTTTGGACAATCTGGTCAGGTAAAAGTATTTGCTTCCCCAGAGTATTTGGGAGCTTGAAATGGCTTTGTGCTAAAGTTCTGGCCAATGATATATAAACCAAGGAATTCTTGGAAACCCTTTGCCTTTCAGACAGGTACAGTTCTTTATTGCTTCCTGGATTCATTTTCTTTCCTGCCTAGAATGTGAAAACCTGGCCTAATCGTACACAACCATCTTTTGACCTTGTGCTGATAAGGATGAAGGTAAAAGTGTATATAGGCTAAAGAAAGCTATTTTTTCAAGGCACTGAAACAGTCTTTGATGTTTTTTTATCCAATGCATTCTTAGGTGTTATAAAGAGAAAGGAAATATACCTGGCAACATTGCACGCCTTCTAATGTTTCAAATACTTTTCAGCATTAGCTCACTTAACCTTATTAACAACATTCACCCCTACAAGGATCTGTTATTCACATAAGGGACAACTACCCACGTTTCACAGATGAGTAAATGGAGTCTCACAGGGTTAACATCACCAGAAATATCTAGTTAGTGAATGAATGAATGACACAAGCCCAATATTTCTAATATACTATAACCTCAGGAACGTCTAAGACAATGAGATATTAAGGTTATTTTCCATGAAGGCAAGGTAAGTGGAGAATTTATTCAATATGCCATTAGTAATGGTTGATAAGGACCCCCCCCCCCCCATATTTATAACTCAGGACAACATTGACTCTATGGTTATTTTCCACTTAGATTTCTTCACATACTAATTTGCCACAATTCTCTTCTGCTTTTCACCTTCTTAGGCAGAGCCCACAGCTATGGAGAGCTGAGGCTTGGGATTCTCTTAAATCAGTGGCTCTCAAATTGTATTGTACATCAGAATCTTCTAGAAAGTTTGCTAAAACATAGATTATTGGGCCTTAGATCCATGGTTTCCGATTCAATAGGTCTGATGTGAGCCCCAGTAATTTGCATTTCTAACGAGTTCTTAGATGCTGCTGCTGGTCTTTGAGAAGCACACTGAAACATCTCTTGGTGTTAGGAAGTAATGATTATTATGCTAGTATTTCCCTAGATTCCAAATAAATTTTGGAATCTTTATGAAATGTATGTATCTCAAATATAATACTTCCTAATATTAAACTGGGTGCAAGTTACATTAAATATATAAATTTTGGGGGCGCCTGGGTGGCGCAGTCGGTTAAGCGTCCGACTTCAGCCAGGTCACGATCTTGCGGTCCGTGAGTTTGAGCCCCGCGTCAGGCTCTGGGCTGATGGCTCGGAGCCTGGAGCCTGTTTCCGATTCTGTGTCTCCCTCTCTTTCTGCCCCTCCCCTGTTCATGCTCTGTCTCTCTCTGTCCCAAAAATAAATAAAAACATTGGGAAAAAAACCAATTAAAAAAATATAAATTTTGGCGAAAGAAACAATAGAAAAAGCAAAATTTTAGAGGCATGACATGGAAATGCCTTATTTAATAAAGAAGCAAGTGTGTCCTTGACAACAGTAAGGGTCTCTTGTTTCTTACCTTTTCATATTTAATGTGTAGCATATATTCTTGCTAATGTCCACAAAAAAGGGTACAAGATCAGTAACATCTGAGTGTGTGGATGTGTGTGTGTGTGTGTGTGTGTGTGTGTGTGAGTGAGAGAGAGAGAGAGAGAGAGAGAGAAGCAGAGAGACAGACAGGAGAGGGGAACAGAGACAGAAAGAGAGACAAAGGTGGCTTTGTGGGTGAATCTACATAACTGTGCAACAGGTATGTTAGAATTCCCTAAGTGTGTGGAGCACCTGTGTGGCTCAGTTGGTTAAGCGTCTGACGTCAGCTCAGGTCATGATCTCTTGGTTCATGAGTTTGAGCCCTGCGTCAGGCTCTGTGCTGACAGCTCAGAGCCTGGAGCCTGCTTCGGATTCTGTGTCTCCCTCTCTCTCTGCCCCTCCCCTGCTCATATAAAAAAAAATTTTTAATTAAAAAAATAATTAAGTGGCTCAGTTGGTTAAATGTCCAACTTCAGCTCAGGTCATGATCTCATGGTTCGTGAGTTTGAGCCCCGCATCAGGCTCTAGCTTGGGCCTGCTTGGATTCTGTGTCTCCCTCTCTCTGCCCCTCCCCCACTCTCACTGTGTGTATGTGTCTCTCAAAAATAAATACACATTACATAAATAAATAAATAAACAAATAACTAAATAAATAGAATTCCCCTAAGTGTGGGAAGGTGCAGCTTCTAGCTTATCTTAGAGATAAGATGCTTCTAGGTGTTATTTCAAAATTGGTGGAAGAAACATAAATTAGGATGGACTTCCAAGTCATATAGCTAAGTAGCTATTTAACTAATATGACCACTAGAGACTCTCATTTTAGCAACAAATGGAAATGAGGCCTAATGTTAAGTAATGGTGCCTAATGTTAACAGGGTAATCTATGCCCAGACACTTTGCAAATTCATTCTACTTAATCTTCATGACAACTTTGAGGTAGGTACTGTCGACGGTACCATTATATGGGGGAAGGAATTGAGGCTTAGAGGTTAAGAAAATGGACCCAGATTCCACAGCTAGTTCATGGAGTAAGCCAGGGTTTTAGGCTGTCTGGCTCCAGGGTTGCACCCTTAGGCATTCGATGATATTGCCTCAGTGTGGAGATATGTAAATCTTTCATTGCTAGAAACTGTTTTATTTTAGCATTAAGTTTGTACAAATTTCCAACTAATGGTTCAATTTGGGTATTGAATTTATCTGATCTAGGGCTCTGGTAACAAGGCGTGTGATGTCATCAGGAACCAATAAGAGCTTCTGATCCACATGCCTTATACTCCGTGTTAACATACTGAGTTGATATAATTCCAGCAAAAAAGGAAAGAAATGTGCTATTTTATTTGGCACATATCGCCTTATGCTGGCAAATATACTATTCCCACTAGACTTTTTAAAATACTGAAAATAATTCCCAGACACCCATTCATTTATTCGTCCACGATTGTGTATCAAGCACACAATATGTACAGGTAGGATGTTGGGGACTGAGGGCTGAGTAAGGAAGACATGGTTTCTATCCTGTGCTTCCTGCAGATCAAGCCTAAAGGGGTGAAGAAAACTGAGGTCAGAAATCACTTCTCTCAAATCAACCGTGCTCGGCAACTGAGCCGCCAGTTTTTCTCCAGGAATGCAGTGAGATTTGCCAGATCATTCTCAACTAGGGCTCCACCCTCTTTACCTGTGGACCGGCTGTGAGTTGCTTGGGATATTTCAATACATTAAAGAGAAGGAAGAAAAAGAAGGTAAACTCACTCATTTCAGGAACCTCTCTGCCTTTCCTCTGGGGCTCACTCCCAGCTACAGCTGACCTCCGAGTCAACAAGTATCACAGTGTCACAGTGACTGTCTAGAGCCCAGATGCCCATCAGGCAACATGACCTCCTCTGGCTGCCTCCAGGCTCCTACCTTATCTGTCGGTTGCTTGTGTTCTTGTTCACAGGGCCGCACCATGCAGAGGCGAGTCTGCTTCACCATCTCACACTGTGGATTCCGGTTGGTGACCCGGGTGGAAAAACCCATGCCACAGCTCTTGGAGCATGCGCTCCACTCCGTGGTCTGCTCAATGCAGTTGATGCTAGAGTCGGAGACTGCAACACCTACAGTGGCTTCTGTCCTGTAGGCTATGGGATGTACAAATCAAGGTGGCCAGATTGAGTAAACCATGGGGATTGCTGAGTGGTCCTTTCAACCATCATTGGAAAGAGGGTTCATTCAATTCTGTACCTACTAAACTCAGGTGCTTTCGGGGGCCAGAACTGGATCTCTGTATTTATAAACCCTAAAGAGGTAGCACAATACCAGCACAGTGTAGGCCTTTAAGAAAGCTTTGAAGAAGGACTGTTGAATTGTCCTTAAGAAGCTTGGGAGACGCTGTCTTAATGAAGTCTGGTAGTCTCAAGAATGTAGAACAGTATAGCATCAACAGCCATTCCATAAACTGTAGCGTTTTCAACATGCGATTTTGTACAGAAAAAGGATCATGATGGAATTTTAATTAGATGAGCAATTAGAACCTCTCAACTCAAGGCAATACTTTGAAATACTTTGCTCTAGACTGGTAAAACGGGTTGTTTGGATTATGGGATATAGACACTTGGACTTTGATTACAAAAAGTTCTGTCCCAACACTTAACATGTATGGCTTGGGGCTCTCTCTTCTACATGGCAGTTTTCCTATCTGTAGGTCATGGTTGATCATTTCTGACCTCAGAAAAACTGTAAAGCTCCATGTACTGCCAGTATAAATAATCTGGGTGATTAATGGCTTCTAAAATAGTCTCTCCTGACTCTTGAATTTTTCTTTTCAAAAAACAATTTCCTTTATACGATAAAACAAAAAGAAAAGCAAAACAAAGACCCTTCACCCTTCCACCAGCATCTGGAAAAGTGACATGTCTCTGTGATACCGGTTCAGGGAAAAGTAGCAGTCTTTACGGATGCTACTTGAGAGCCCAAGGTAATACACAGAATCCAGAAAAGAGTGATAATTTATATTTTTTACTTTTATTTAAGGGTCAAATGGGGGCAGATGAAAATCTAAACAGTAGTCATCCAATAAGACAAAATCAATCCCCTTGCTCAAAAGAACCACTGAATGCAGCAGGTTCTCTTTAGGAGAAACTGTGTGCATACTTCAGCAACTTGGCTAGGATTCCAACACGTGATGTGCTTGATCTCAGTGGGCAATCTGGAATGGGCAGAAACTGAGGCCAGTTTCTCATTGCAGATCCCCAAAGAGGATACGTGCCTCCTGCCTGCATTTAACCTGGGCACTGATCACCGTCAGGTATCCTGAGTATCTTACCTGGAAGGGCAAGGCCTCCTAATTCTGCCTTCTCATTTGAGTCACAGATCCACTTTTCACAGCACTCCCCGGGCACTTCGACTTTCCTGGGAGCTGGGCAGTCAGGCTGGGGCAGGAGCAGGTCTTCCTCGCAGCGGGGCACACAGCCAATCTGCCCGTCTCTGCAGGTGCACTGGTATTTGCAGCTTGGCTGAAAGGTCTCTCCACTTTGGTAAATGACCCCATCAAACACGCAGTTGTCTCCTTCTACAGCTAGGGCGTCAGGGGAGCAAGGCACAGAGGGAAGGGCAGAGAGAATAAACAACAACACAGCTAGAAAAGCTACATGCAAACCTCGGGTCCTTCTTTTCCTAGTTTCTTCTCTATCTCTGGCAGAGAGATGTCCTCTCGGAGGCCTCCCTGAGCAAGAAGAAACCCATCTCATCCTGCCACTTATTTTGCAGATGAAGAAAGAGGAGCACAACTAAGAAGTGACACTCCCCAGGTGCCACAGCTCTTGCTCCCAATGATAAAGTCATTTAGCTAGAACCTCCTTGACCTCTCCTATTCCAGCAGGTTAGAATTAAAAGACAAAAGTGCACTTTGTATTCTCCAAACAGGTTAACTGGTCAAATCGGGAAGGGTGCTGGGATTCCTTGGCACTCCAGCACAATAAATCATCACCAGCTTAGAGAAGAAAGGAGAAGGCTATTCCAATCCCTCTTGTGGGGGTTGGAGGGATGCAGGCAGCCTCAGAATAAATGGTGCACCATGTGGAAAAATGACCCCCCATCGATTAGGTCTCACCAGCCTGGACTGGCCCGTTGCCTGCATTTTATTTTATTCACAGTCCAAACTGGGGTTACATAGTGGTCCCAGGAGACCAGGGGCTGTTTTAGCTCAAACAGGACCATTACAGGTGTGAAAACAAACGTGCTGGGGAACTGTGAGCATGTGAGTTATCCCAGAATCCCGTCACCCACAAGCATCCCCTTGGAAATGTCCAAAGGAAATGATTTCACTGGCTCTAAACTCTGCTCCGCTGCCCCTCTATCTAGAGGCAAGTGACGAATGCTTCTCACCTTTGCGGGCAGGTTTCCTCTCTGGCTTCTGGCGGCTCCCCAAAGCCGCAAGCACCCGCACCCCGCCCCGCCCCGCCCCAGACCATACCTGGCGCACAGTAAGCGCTCCACAAACATCACCTACTGCACCATCACCATTATTATTATTTGCACGTCACCCTCTGGGAAGAGGAGGAGAGGAAAAGGCAGCTTGCGGGAGCAGAGGGCAGGAGGCGCAGGGGGCCGGATTACCCATGCAGATGCCGGTTCCCGCGCTGGGGTCCGCTCTGCGGTCGCAGAAGAGGCCGCGGCTCTCCTCGCAAGGCTCCAGCAGCGAGCAGCTCTCGCCGCGCTGGCGGGCGCACACCAGACAGCAGGAGCAGTCGTCCAGCACGGCCCTCACCCCGGGGGCGCAGGTTGGCGGCGTCTTGGGACACCGCACGGGACACTGGGCGGGACAGCGCTGGGTCGCAGCGACCTGGTGCAGGCGGGACGAGGAGAAAGCTCTCAGCAGGAAAGATCGAAGGCAGAGCCACTCGGTCACCGGGCGCGGGCCACTCATTAGGGCAAAGTAACCAGACGCAGCTTAGGGGCGTGCCACTCACCTGTCCCAGGACGTGGAGCAGCAGAAAGCCCAGGCAAAAGCACCGCTTCGACAGACTCTGCACACTCTGCATGATCGGGCTTTTCCCTCCCGCTTTGACGAGACGAGACTTGGCGCCCCAGATCGGCCCGGCTGGCCCCGCTGCAGGTCCGGCGCCCGCCTCTGTCCCCCGGCGGCACCGGCGCAGGTTTTATAGCGCGTTCCCGGGACGCGCTCGCTCGGGTTGGCTGCAGGGCCGGCAAGGGGGGGGG